CTGACTGCTATTCAATCTATAACAGTGAAAAAAGTTTTTTGTTTTTAAATCTAAGCTATTGTGACACCAGATGTAATTGGTGGCACTGACTGGGGAAATGGGCACAGTATGCACTGTGAGCATGACACAGAAGCTGGCAGCAGTGGCAGACAACTGACTGCTATTCAATCTATAACAGTGAAAAAAGTTTTTTGTTTTTAAATCCAAGCCATTGTGACACCAGATGTAATTGGTGGCACTGACTGGGGAAATGGGCACTGTGAGCCTGACACAGAAGCTGGCAGCAGTGGCAGACAACCAAGTGCATTTACATTAGATAGAAAAAAAAAATCCAAAAAAAGCATACCCTTATCCCTAACCTAGCTATGCTTTTCCCTATCTTATGAACAGCAGCTACACTTTCCCTCCTCTTACTAAGCATGCAGCTTGAGAATGAATCTAAAATGGATGCCGTCCAGGAGGTGGGAGGGTCTGCTAGGGAGGGTGTGCTGCTAATTGGCTGGAATGTGTCTGCTGACTGTGAGGTACAGGGTCAAAGTTTACTCAATGATGACGAATAGGGGGCGGGTCGAACCGCGCATATGTTCGCCCGCCGTGGCGAACGCGAACATGCTATGTTCGCCAGGAACCGTTCGCCGGCGAACCGTTCGGTACATCACTAGTGATAAAGAAAGGTGGTGTTGGTTAGAAAGTATCAGTAAAATTCTAAGTAATTTAAGAGGTTGTGTCCAAGAGAGTTTAAGAGTAGAGTGTTAGTCCCAGATATTGTCCTGGATTTCTCTGCATGTCCGAATCAGATGCCCAAACACCAACTCGTCCTTCTCTCTGTATCCAATCCCAACTTTTCCCTTTGTCCTTACTTTTAAAGGGCCAGACTCTTTGTACATCATTAGTTGATAAACCAATAGGAAGCCGTAGGTGGATTCAATCGATGGATCGCAATTTAGGTATTTGATCCATAGATGGCAGTCTCGTCTAATGAAACCTTCCTATCCAGGAAAGAGTTAACTTTTCCTGATGACGATTTTGACGTAATTTGGCTTATCTAAAATGACTACCATAACTTAGATTTGCTGTCAGTTCAAAGCGTTTGTCCCTGTCTTTGTGGCAACTACTTTGATCGTAACTTGTAAAATTGACAGTTCTAAACTCAATTTCACCCCTTCCTTACAATGAAACCTTGTCAAATTTAGAAAGTAAAATTAATTACTTAATCTTCTCTGTCACTAGTGTCTGTGTTTAGATAATGCATTCCTTAGCTCAAGCAAGTGGTTAGTGAAAGTAATAAGAAATCAAGGAAATTATGTATTTTTGTTATCCTGAAGGTAGCAAAATGGAGTCTGCTCTGTTTCTGAGTGACTTGGCAATATGCACTTTTAATTTCTTTTTAGCACAAAACGTCTGTTGATATAAATATTTTGACAGAACACAGGGAGGGGGGAAGAAGTGGAGAACACTGGGTGGGAGATGAGAACACAGGGAGGGGGGTTGAAGAGAAAGTGGGGCAGGGAGAAACCACTAAAGGAGGGAGGGGGTGGTGGAGAGCACACTAGGGGGTGAGGAGACACCACTAAGGGAGGGGGGTGGAGGATAGACCACTAGGGGAGGGTGGGGGGAGAGGAGAGACCACTAATGGAAAGGGGGGAAGAGGAGAGCAGAGACCACTAAGGGGGAGACCAGAGACCAGTAATGGAAAGTGGGGAGAAAAGGAGACCACTAAGGGAGGTGGGGGAGAGGAGAGACCACTAATGGGCAGGGGAGATCTCTAAGGGATGGAAGGGAGAGCTCTATAGGACAGGGGGCAAGACAGGGAGCTCTTTCACACTACGTGCACACACACACACACACAATATGCATCCCTATACACACAGAAACACAACATGCTTCCCTTACACACAGAGAAACACACAATGCAACCCTTACACGTAAAGACAATGCATCCTTTGCACATATACACAGAAACACACAATGCATCCCTTACACACACATGCAACCACACACTGCTTCTCTTACACACACACAGAAACACAATGCATCTCTTA